ATTCGCCGTCGTCTTCTGGTGGAACCGACCTTCGAATCTATTCACCAAACACTTCTACTCGAAATGGAAGTAAGCCCAACAATTGATGTATGAAAACCATGATGGTTCGGCCTCTTTTTGGTAGCTATCTCTTTTCCATGTGTAAAAGTAGACTAATAGCATAAATGTTTAAATTTTACGTTCCGACACATGAAATTATCATGATTGCTCTAAAAAAGGACTCTAGACATGGTTTATAAGCTAAGTTGCTTTGACAACACGATGACGTTGTGCAAATAAGTCAAACCATTTCGATCCATCTAATTAGATAAGATGATACTTAATTAATTTAATGCTCTAAATATTACAAGTAAATTGGTACATTCAGAATCATACAATATATGACATATAATAAGTACAATAAACATAAAAACAACTGGCGCAAATAAGCCATTATAACATAGAGCATACCTGGGCTACCAGTTGTGCCAACATCGGCACTTCCGGACGAAGGGTTACAAGTGCTTCCCGAAAGTGGACCTCCAGGGCTACTTCCATTGTCAGCACAACCGGTAGTGACACATTTACCGATGCCGGAATTGGCGAGTCGGCGGATTTCGGAAATAAGTCGTTCGTTCTCTGATTGAAGAGTAGATTTCTCTTCCTGTAGTAGAGATACCTGTAAAAATAATTAAACGTAAACATTAAATGAGATAAGTTGGTCGACCTCGTTGTCGTAATTTGGTCTTGTTGTCAGAGTGATTTAGTAGAACGCACCTAGTTCGAAGTCGTCTTCCATAGTAGTTGTCATGATTCCCAGCATCAGAGAGTGGACTTGACATATTCTCAAATGTTTAGCCCTTCAACTCGTCAAAATGTGTGCCCTTTTGAGGCAAATCTAATGTATCCTCATCACACTCACTATTCGCCCCGACCCCTCTCTTTCGATAGGCTGATTCGACTCGAGCGTCCAATCCGGATCTCCTCATTGTCTAGTAGATTCGTTCCTTAATTTTCTGGTTTACAGATTTCACTCGGTTCCAATCCCAGTGTGCATTTCATTCCAGGCCTCATTTCTTAAGGCCCTATAAACACGTACAATGCCGCTTCACTGAACAGAGCACCTAAGCTCTGATTCCCATGCTTGCAGATATCAGGCATAACAAGTAAGCTAAGCCGAAAAAGGAATATTTAGCGTTAGATTAAATGAGAACTGTGTAACCTGGAGATCTATGATGCAAGGGGTGGAGCTAAATATGAATTATTTGCAATCTGTAGTCTGCCGAATGTGTCAAACAGAACTAAATTAAAAATAGTTATTCAATATATAAATGGCGAGCTTCCAATAAATATAAACCTAAAATAGAGATAGTTGGTGACAATTAATACAGGTATTTGATGGGTAAAATTAAGGAAACGGCAACAATTTAAAATTCCTTAACAAGTGTAAAACAATTCTAATAGAGCGAGTAAGCAACAAAGTTTCTTCTTAAATGGCAAAGGGGCGTTAGCATATTATGAGAGATGATGACAATGGCACAGAGGATATAGAATAACTAAAAAATT